ATATGTTTCTGATATACATTAGTGATTTCCTGTTTCTCATAATGGTGTACACATTATTGTTTTGAGATATTACAGGATAAGTCTCAATGAGATATTATTGTGGACCATAATATTTTATAGCTTATGGACCTGGTACAATGAGTTGCTAATGTTGTGGTATATGGAAGAGAGTATGTAGACAAATTATATATAACCGCCATAACTCACATTTAGTAGTTTATCGTATTATGGTATTTATGATGGACATTATAGAAGAGATTTGTTTATGCGCAACTAATGTTACTATATTAAATATTAATATTATGTGATTATTGGGCCAAGTGGGAGAATGTAAACTATTTTCTTACGTGTATGTGGCCCAATAAGATTAGGCCCATAATTAATATTTAATTAATATTTAATTGATGGACGTACCGGATTAAGTGAGAACCTCTATAAATTGTTCCTCTCCCCACCCATTAGGGTTACTGGATTTTACTTTCTTTCTTCCATCATTAAAGGCGACGGTAACATAAAGTTAGGGCAAGGGGCGAGAAATCAGTTTTTGAATTAACGCTTCCGCTTCAAGATAATGAATTCCGCTTCAGGTATATTTTCTATGGCAATTACATGTAACATTATCATGTTCAAGATCATGGTATGAATTAAAGTTTATGCTTATATAATAATCACCATTGACAGGTTGTGTAATTTTTTTTAAAACCTCATAGATGATGGTCACCTTTAATAAGCTACCAATAAAAGAAGGGTAATACTGGAATTTAAAAGAGTCCATCAAAGAATGAGTTGACCATGCGCATTGATTATGACCTACTAATATAGGTGCTAGGGCACTCCATCAAGTTGGTTATGAATTAAGATATCTTAATCGCATGGATATTCAAATGACTTTGCATTTGAATGCATACTCCCAAAAAAGAGTGAAATAGCACGGACTAACCAATTTTTAGATTGATAATTGAAAAATAGCCAGCATTTATAAAGTCATTAAAAAATAACCAATATTTTGCTGCAACACGAAAAGTTACAACATAATATATGGGAGATTGATGCACATGTGTATGAACTTTCCGTATATTATGCTAGAATTTCAGCACACAGAAAGTTCCAGTATAATATGCTGGAGATTGTAGCACATGTGTATGAACTTCCAGCATATTATGCTGGAAGTTCACATGTAAAAAATTCGAACTCCAATATATTATGTTGGAATATTTTCTGAATTTTGAACCGTATTTTCGTTCAAATTTATTTTTACATGAAAATGGGTAAATTTCGATTACCTCTCAAACTATGATTATTTTTCAATACCGGTAAGTCTGACTATTTTTGCATTTCACCCCAAAAAGAGCAAATACTAAAATGGGCCTTGTTTTGGCTGCAAATGCATTGGGACCATTTCACTCTACCCTTATAAATTAGAGGTCTGAGTTTGGAACTTTTTCATGAAAAGTGTTCCCTCTCTTTGTAGCTTACTCAGTGTTAGAGGCGTTTAATTGTCTTTTAAAAGTGGCTTTTAAGTTAAAAGTCAAAAATCATAATTGTGACTTATTTTTGTAATTTTTATGCCTAAAAGTAAGTTCTTTTAATCACTTTTTATCACAGTACAAAACCAAATAAACTAAAAAAGTACTTAAAAACCAATAGAAGCTTGAAATAAGCCAATCCAAACACCCTCTTAGTCCAAATTCATAGAGCAGATTATATCTAAATGTTAAATAGGAAGAAAAAAAAATTGTGACAGTCTCGAAAAAATGATCTTTTTCTGTGTTTCGTTCCTGATTCATATTCATATAGCACAAAATTACCAAAAAGATTACACTAAGCAAGAAAGATCAGGAAAGGGGGATACATGAGTAATGAAGAAAAAGATTGACTGGATTGAGCAAGCTGGTCAGTTTTGTAGGTTTGGATTGGCTTTAATTTTGGAAACCAATTATATTAGTTTCCAGACAACTATTTCACTTTTTGAGCTAAATATATTTAGGTACTATATTTTTTTTTTTGTTGTTAAAACCGAATACAACTAAAACTAAAAGCTCCTCCTATGAATCAAAGAAATGTTTATTTGTATTCGCCAGAACCAATTTCGTCACTGATCGTACAGATCCACTGTTGAATCATGCATAGAATAACAACAAAATTTGATCGACTGTTCAATATTGACATTACCTTTCTATACTTTGGTGTGGAAGAATATTCTAGTCATCATCCGTGAAGTCTTAAATCCATAGTATAATTGATTAAAAGTGCACAGGAATATAAATTTTTTTCTTCATTTACATCAGAATGTTACCAGAAATCACCTTTTAGTGATTTATTTTATCCCACTATATTTAATTGATAATAAAAATTACAATAACAAATACCCATCGTCTCTTAGAAATCACCTTTTGTGGTCTTTAATTTGAATTTCCCAGTATTCGGAATTATTTGATTATAAGTTTCATTAATGCAACTACTAATAAAAAAAAACTCCAAATACTGGGAAATTCAAATTAATAAACATGACCCTGCTCATAATTTGATGTTTAAAGAAAAAATATTCCAACTCATTCCCAACTTTTTCAATCCTATTAAATTTGTTTATTTCCTATCTAGAAACAAGATCAAGACAATATATATTGATGCTTTATACTTCAAGACCACACACAACAGGGGTGATTTGAATTTTTGCGTGCGCTCGTTTATCGAAGGACCTAATTCTTCTATGAGTTTCTTAACTATGGTAGCGGAATCAATAAAGCATTGTAAAGAACACACAGATCTTCACGTGGAAAACACCCAGCTCAAAAAGATGAAAAAACCACGACCTATTTTCCGGTAGAATTTATTCAAAACTTTTCACCAAACTCTGAGCCAAAACGTAACAAAGTGTACAAAACTCTTGCAAATATAAGGATTAAACTCCAACCCCTGTAGCAATGTCACAGGCTGTTGCAACTACTTCAAGTTAATTCTACCTTGAATAACACAACTCAAGTGCTTAGTACAAATGCTTCTAGAGCAAGCTGAATGTACAACTCAAAAACTCCTACTACACTTAAACAAGAAATAAAGATAGATGCATAAACTCTTCATGGAACTGGTTGTTCAATCGGATTCGTGTAGCTTCAAGGTCACACTTTTAAGTCTAAAAGGAATTGTTCACAACATGCCTTGTTATTTGCTCTTAATTCTTGCTTTCACTTTTGTATGTGCGCGATTGCCTGTAAAATATAACAACACTGATATGTATAGAGTTAGTAAATAAAGAGTAGCTATAAATCTATTGCTTTATTTGTTCTTCCTTGGTAGAAAAGTTTTAGTTAACTTCAACCTCTAACTCTTTCCTTATTCTGGATTGAGTTCTCTTCAAGTTAGGAGTCCTGCTCCTTATTATCAAATATGCAATCTTTTTGTTTAGGTATTATCAGAAATAACCACTTATGCTTATCCTTTGCAACATGTATGCTTTTTGCTTGTTTCCGATCGATGTTGACCTGTGTACAGTATCCATGACCTGGTTTATGCATTTGTTTCTTTGTCAAATCATCAAAACATATTTCGCTTAGGTCAACACATACACGCAAAAAATAAAAATTGTATATAGGTACATTGATCTAATTTGAAATTCTTATATAAACAACAAAACAAACCATGAGTTAGCATTGGATACTAGTGATTATTTTCTTAAGCACAACGACATGATGTTATATATAAGGAATATTTCCTTTTAGTTCTTAAATGGTGCGCGAAAAACGTCAGAATGATGAATATATACTTAAGTTCAATTGCTGTTTAACCTATTTCCTAGACATTTGTCAAGAGCAGTAACGTAGCATGTTAACTCCATAAAAAGAGTGATCATCAAATATGAATGGACAAGAAGTGATACAAACAAGTGGATACTGGATAGGATTTTCTACAAATTAGGAGGGAAATTCAGGTAAGGCTTAGCTCTCTTTTATACGCAATGTTAATTTGCATTTTCTCTTCAAACAATCATCTCCATGCTCCAATTCGACGAGAATATATACCTTTTTTTTTAAATTAAGAAACTATCTGTAACTCAATCTCTTCCTATCTTATTATATGTTGTCTGGTATTGGGGCCTGACTAAATTCGGGATATATGTATTGGAGTCTGACTAAATTAAATTTGGATTCGTGCCGGAAAATTCTATGTTGGGAGGTAAAGATTTCCATAAATAAGGGCGACTTCATACTCAAGGTTTGAATTTAAGACCTCTGAATAAGAAATAAGAAGTATTTTACCACTCCACCACAATAGTTCATGTTGGTTGAATTGCTGAATTATTGGTTTAATATAATGGCCAACCAGACAAGGAATGACCAGGAGGTAAATGAGATGTTTGACACATACTATTTGAGATTCATTTGACAGAGTAAAAAAATATAAAAAAACGAAACACATATTTAGAATTTCTTTTGGTTGTGACTGAGTAGTGCATGAGCAGGAAGAAAAGGGTAGAAGGAAAAATGGGAAACAACCCCACAGCTCCTTGATATTATTATTATTATTCGATTTTGAGGGCCATAGTCATCTTTTTTATCATAATGTACCTCCCATTTATTGCCCTTTTGTCTTTTGCCTTCATTCCTTCTCCATCACTAAATGCTCTTTGCCTCCTCCTTTCAGTTTTGTTCACAACTTTTGCTATAGGATTTGCAGATTAGGGCAAAAGCTCCCTTCTCCAAGTAGGGTTTCCCTTCTGAGGGTTTCATCACTAGTGGTAATTTAAAGAACCTGTGAAGTACTTTCTCTTTGTTACTTTGTAACCAGTTTTCTGAGAGAGCTTTCACAAAGATTATAAATAAAAAAAAGGTACTTCCCTTTTCATTATTCTCATCAGAAAAACATAGATCACAACAAACAGGTAAAGTCATGACGTTTTCTTGTGATCTCTTATCTTTTTTGCTAAATTTTTTTCTGTTGTGCGACTTGCCACTCTTTTGGGAAAGGTGTTAAGATAAAGTCCAACAAATATATANTTCACAAAGATTATAAATAAAAAAAAAGGTACTTCCCTTTTCATTATTCTCATCAGAAAAACATAGATCACAACGAACAGGTAAAGTCATGACGTTTTCTTGTGATCTCTTATCTTTTTTGCTAAATTTTTTTCTGTTGTGCGACTTGCCACTCTTTTGGGAAAGGTGTTAAGATAAAGTCCAACAAATATATATTTGCTATACAACTACTATATGTCATAGTTGTCGATCTAGGGTTTACCAGTTTTTTTTATTTATATTCTGAAAATGTATTTCAAAAACGGTAGATTTCATCGTGTTTATATTCAGATCAGATCTTGTGTTTAACAGAATTTATATTCAGAAGGCTATCTCATTATATCCAACTGAACTCAACAATATTCTAGTGGGTGTGCGCTAGCTGGATGATAATAGATAAGACAAAAATTGTTGAAACTAAATTGAACAAACCATGCATATATAGTTCCTTTTAGCCGTTAAAAGGAAAGAAAAAAAGGAACTAGTTTAGGGGAGAGAACAGAATAAGAAAAATAATTAGCTGGCTAATTAGCACTATATAGAATACCATAAACAAATTCATTTAATTAGACATTGTACATGTATCATCGAACGATCTCTAACACACATGCAGATATGATAAAAAGACTTTTTGTGATTTCCTCTTGATAGAAGGCCTATAGCCAAGTTATTTTCTCCTCTTTTTCTTAATCTTAGGTGTGCTAAGGTTCTTTGATGGTTATTCAAGACATAAAAGTTTCAAGAAAATCCCAAATTGGAAAAAATGAAATTAGGCTAGAAATAGTTAAGGAAAAGTTGTGGGTATATTCTAGCTTATAGTAACCAGTAGAATAGTTAAATACCCCATATGGCTTAAAGATGCATATAAAGAAAATTGAAAGAAGGGATTTACTTGATCATGTTAACTTGATGCAGCTAGCTAGCTAGAGGGAAATATATATCTATATACATGGCTTCATCCAGCTGCTACAACTCCCCTTGTGCTGCCTGCAAATTCCTAAGGAGAAAATGTCTGCCTGGTTGCATCTTTGCACCTTATTTCCCACCTGAGGAGCCACAGAAATTTGCCAATGTCCACAAAATCTTCGGGGCTAGCAATGTGACCAAGCTTCTGAACGAGCTCCTCCCTCACCAGAGGGAGGACGCCGTCAACACTTTGGCCTACGAAGCCGAGGCAAGAGTCAGGGATCCCGTTTATGGGTGTGTTGGCGCAATCACTTTCCTCCAACGCCAAGTCGAGCGCCTCCAGAAGGAGCTCGACGCTGCTAACGCAGATTTAATTCGCTATGCTTCTTGCAACGATGTTTCAGCTCCATTGGTTGCACCCCAAAGGGGGTATGAATTGGGAGGTTTTCATCAAACACATAATTTTCCTTTCCCTTATCCTCCATCATGGAATGATCAAAGCCCTTCCGGAGGCCATGGAAGAGGAGGAAATATTTGAGCCTAATTTATAGAGGGTTCAGGTTTCTTGGATCATTTCCTTTAATTTCTACTACCTGCTATGGTTGCTAGCTAGCGCTCCTCATATTCAGTTTCCTAGCTAGACTGAATAACTATGGCGTAAATTTGGGGAGTTTAGACTTTTAGTAGATGTGCTGCTTAAAAAAAAAAAACTCTTTCTCTAAGTATTTTATGTGTCATATTCAGAGACGACCTAAAATGTGGCATGGCAAGCTAAGTCTATGGTTGCTACATTTTCTGTTCTATTATTGAGAGTCTAGAAAGATGTCCATGTGAACTGTCCTATTTATGGGATTTGTTTATGGTTTACTAAAAGTAATAAATTATTTCATGTCATTGTAAAAGGAGATTCTCCAGCATCATGAGTGATCTCTAGCTAAGTCCTCTCTCTCTATATATATTAGATCATGCGTGCATTTTCTAGTTTATGTTTCGTTTCAGCTTTTAGTTTGTTCATATATATATATATATGGACCATTTCTCTTTACCTAATACGCTGCAAAGCTGCTAAGGTGCTAGCTCCTTATGAGAATTCTAGTTGAAAGGCACCTATCCAAAGGGCACCAAAACAAGCAAAGTCTAACTGCTGATTCTCATCAAACATTACAGTTTCTTTGTTTAATAAATGCAACTTGATGAGTATGGGTACGGAAATGTTTTTTTATAGTCCTGTAACCAAAAGGGTATGGGGGACCAGCAGTCTAGCTGCAACATCAAAATTTTGCTTGAGTTATTTCCCAGCATTTATATGCGTAGGGTTTAATTTACTCGGAGTTTAACTTCAATTTACATTGAAGGTGTAAAAAATTATTTACGCACATAAAGAGACCTTTAATTTCTTTTTCTTCTTAATTTCCCACTTAGCTCTTTGCTGGTTACATACATGTTATTTCCCCAAAGGTTCAATTTAGTATATACTACAACATTAAACATAGTTTTGGTAAGTGTTGGACGTTCACCTTCGAAATGATCAATTTGACTTTTTCCACCTTTGGAAAGATCGTACTCTCCGATATATATGTATTGGTCAAAATCTGACCGTCACGACCGAGCTGACCAACGTCCCACCCAAGTGACAAAGTAGTAAAAGATAACATAGCCCACCCTACATCCCCTTCTCGACACCCGTCAAGTCGGAAGGAAGTGTCTAAAAGAACGACCAAGGCACACTTGGTGCGAGAGAGTGTCAGACCAAGTAAATGGCAAGGATGCCTTGACTATATATAGCAGGGAAAAACCCTCGATGGGGGAGGGGGGCTTTTTTCCCTTTCTCTCTCCCGAGCTCTCTTCCTGTAATTTTCATAGGAGAGAAATAATCTGCAGAAGAACATGTAAAACTATCCCCCATTGATTGATGGAGCCACAATGTTGAGTTTCAATAAGATCGACTTTATTTCTTTCATCCTATGTATTATCTACACTATTAGCTCTTTGATCTGGAATTTATTATGTCTGACTAAGATTTACCCCTTCATTTTCTTTGATTGATTTATTCAAAAAGATTCCGATATCTTTTGAGTCAAACAATTTAGTGTCGTCTATGGGGATTTCTTAGTGAAATTTTCTAGTCTCTCCCAGATCAAAGAGAAGAAATACGATCACCCACCGAAAAGAGTGCTAAGGAAAAACCCAACCCACGCGGAACAAAGGCGCAACACGGTAGGGGAAGGAGAGCCGAGTAGAATCACCAAATCTAGAAATCTTTGCCCCATTAACCATCGAAATACCAAACGAGACGAACAACCTTACCAACCTGTTCTCCTCCATCGGACCACCGAGTGGGGGGTAAGGAAAGTATCATTTTAACTCACCTTCTACTCTTTGCTCAAGCAGAAACACAAAGACCGCGCGGACGAGCGAGTAAAGAAACATCTCAATTAAAGAACGAAAAACTACTGCAAAACAACCGAAGTACCGCTAGCTGGTGACACCTCCAAGCCGGAAGGCAGGAGTCAAACAAGGAAACTACAATGTGTGCGCAGAACGAACCTAAGCGAAATAGCAAAGTTTCGTATTCTCCGACGTTGCACCCTCTAATGCAAGCAATGTCAAACGAACTGGGGCTCTCCCAGAAAATGTTTGGTTTTCCAAAAACTGGGACTCACGACAGCTTACTATTTCGATAAGTTCGAAATAACACCCTTTAAGACCAAAGGACCTTCGCCAAAAAGAAGAGTTCGACCTTGATCGAACGACGCCAGGTTATTATTTCGACAAGTTCGAAATAACACCCTTTAAGACCAAAGGACCTTCGCCAAAAAGAAGAGTTCGACCTTGATCGAACGACGACGGGTTAATAATTTGACAAGTTTGAAATAACACCCTTTAAGGCCAAGGGCCTTTGCCAAAAAGAAGAGTTCGACCTTGATCGAACGACGCCAGGTTATTATTTCGACAAGTTCGAAATAACACCCTCTAAGGCCAAGGGCCTTCGCCAAAAAGAAGAGTTCGACCATGGTCGAATGACGATGGGTTAATATTTTGACAAGTTCAAAATAACATCCTTTAAGGCCAAGGGCCTTCGCCAAAAGAAGAGTTCGACCTTGATCGAACGACGACGGGTTAATATTTCGACAAGTTCGAAATAACACCCTTTATAGCCAAGGGTCTTCGCCAAAAAGAAAAGTTCAACCTTGATCGAACGACGACGGGTTATTATTTTGAAAAGTTCGAAATAATACCCTTTAAGACCAAGGTCCTTCGCCAAAGAGAAGAGTTCGACCTTTATCGAACGACGACGGGTTACTATTTCTATAAGTTCGAAATAACACCCTTTATAGCCAAGGGTCTTCGCCAAAAAGAAAAGTTCAACCTTGATCGAACGACGACGGGTTACTATTTCTATAAGTTCGAAATAACACTTTTTAATGCCAAGGGCCTTCCCCAAAAAGAAGAGTTCGATCTTAATCGAACAACGACGGGTTAATATTTTGACAAGTTTGAAATAACACCCTTTAAGGCCAAGGACCTTCGCCAAAAAGAAGAGTATGACCTTGATCAAATAACGACGGGTTAGTATTTCGACAAGTTCGAAATAACACCCTTTAATACCAAGGGCCTTCGCCAAAAAGAAGAATTCGACCTTGATCGAACGATGACGGGTTATTATTTTGACAAGTTCGAAATAACACCCTTTAAGGCCAAGGGCCTTCGCCAAAGAGAAGAGTTCGACCTTTATCGAATGACGACGGATTGTTATTTCGATAAGTTCAAAATAACACCCTTTAAGTCCAAGGGCCTTCGCCAAAAAGAAGAGTTCGATCTTGATCGAACAACGACAGGTTAATATTTCGACAAGTTCGAAATAACACCTTTTAAAGCCAAGGGCCTTCGCCAAAAAGAAGAGTTCGACCTTGATCGAATAACGACGGGTTAATATTTTGACAAGTACGAAATAACTCCCTTTAAGGCCAAGGGCCTTCGCCAAAAAGAAGAGTTCGACCTTGATCGAACAACGATGGGTTAATATTTCGACAAGTTCGAAATAACACCCTTTAAGGCCAATGGCCTTCGCCAAAAAGAAGAGTTCAACCTCTATCGAACGACGACGGGTTATTATTTCGATAAGTTCGAAATAACACCCTTTAAGGCCAAAAGCCTTCACCAAAAAGAAGAGTTCATTCTCGATCGAACAACGATAGGTTAATATTTCGGCGAACATCCTTTAAGGCCATAAGCCGTCTCCAGAGAGAAAGTGCAAAATATTTCTAAGGCCAAGGACCATTAAAAAGTGCAAAAAAAAAACGGGACTCTTCGTGCGGGAATCTATCTCGCAACGAAATCGCGCGAAACGAAAACAAGGGTAGAATACAAGACAAATAACAACGAAAAATTCTTCTTTATACAAAGTCTCCGTGCAAATGGTTGCGGATTACATAAGGCCCAAGCCAACAATAATAAAAAACAAACAACAAAGGAAAAAAGAATAAAGGAACAACGACAATCGACTACGAATATAAAAAAAATGGGGAAGAAAACAACAAACGGAAAACAGATCAATATCCCTATCCCTCTACTCTGCATCATCATCGCCACCCTCTCCACTGTCATCTCTGGGAAGTTCTCCTTCGGCGTCCACACCCCCATTGGTTTCTGGCGTCGCCGCATCATATCCGCAATTGACGCAAGCCTCCCGCACTTTCACCTGCGCCTCTTCATATACATCCTCAGTCACATTACCCGCCTCCCACAAACTTTTGTATATATCCCGCTGGGCTTCGATGTAAACCCAAAGCTCGAGCATGTGGCGGGGAACGATGGTGGAGGAAGATTCAATCTGAGCCAACAGTCGCTCATTTTCTGCCTTCAATGCTGCAACCCGATCTCCCAGAACTGATGCCTCTTGGTCAATCTCGCTAATGCGCTCCTCAAGCCTTGCCTCCATTAGGGTGGCCGTCGCTCTCTCCGACTCCTGCTCGAACTAGAGAACGCGGATGGTGTTCTCCAGGGCCACCACCCTCGCCGAAGCCGCGGACCAAGCACTCTCGATGCTATGTAACCCAGCAACCTTGTCTTCCAGCCCAACTAATTTCCCCATCCACTCCGCGCTCAGCGCCTCGACCTTGATCAAGTTCTGATCCATCTCCGACTGCATTAACCTTAATTTCTCCTGTAGGTGCTTGCACTCTGCGGTGACCCCCTTGCCCAACTCAAGCTCCTCGTCCTTTATTCGAAGTTGCTCCTCAAGCACACTCTTGCTGCGGATAGCCTGCATCAATTCCTGGTCCCTCTTCTCCAACTCCTCACCAAGATCCTGATTACCGGGGTTTGCCTTCAGCCACTCATGCATCTCGCGACACTTGTTACAGTAGCGGCGATATTTCTCCAGCATCTTCAAGAAAATCTTGGCCCGAATGTTGGCCCTGCGAATGCTCTCCACCTCCACCATATACATCTAAAAAATTAAAAGATGGGTTAGAATCCTATCATCAAGAAAAACTAGGGAAAAGCGAAAGAAAGAGTAACATACCCTTAAGCCCATAGCGGCCACCTCGTCCATCAAGTCAGCATCGGGAATGGTCCGCAAGGCCGCATTCTCGAACTCCACTCACCATCTTTTTGATGGCCCATATTCTTCCCTAGTAGGCAGAGATTCACCCATCGGGCGAACGACACGGGTCAGAAGTTCGGCCTGAAAAGCAGCCCTCGCAGGAGTAACCACGATCGCAGACTTGACTGAAGCAGCCCTCGACGAAGGTCGGGTGGTGGGTACCGCGATAGGGCGAGTAGATGAGGCTGGCTGTTGGAAAGCTAACGGAGGAGCCCTCACTCTCCGCACCCTCCCTGCACCAACGAGCAGCACATGAGGAATTAAATATAAAGAGGGA